GTAGTGTCATACCCATGAAGACTCGAGGCTGTAATCACTGCCAAAGGTGCTTCAACAAAGTGCTGAGTAAAGGTTCTGAATACTTATGTAAATGTGATGTTTCAGTTTTTTGCTTTGTAAATATGGGGTATTGTGTGTAGATTGATAAGGATTTGTTATCTTTTTGATCCATTTTTAAATAAGGCTATAATGTAACAAAACAAAAAAGTCAAGGGGTCTGAATACTTTCCGAATGCACTGTATATAGGAAAGACATCAAGAGACAACAAAAATACCATTTACAAACTATTCATATACAGAGCCTTCAGAAAGTATTGATACCCCTTCACTTATTCAACATTTTGTTTGTTACAGCCTGAATTCAAGATGGATAAAATATATAGTTTTATTTTCCATCTACACACAATACCCCATAATAACAAAGTGAAAACATGATTTTGAAAATTAAATACAGACATATCTCATTTACACAAGTATTCACACCCCTGAGTCAATACTTTGTAGAAGCACCTTTCACAGTGATTACAGCTGTGAATCTTTCTGGGTACGTCTATAAGAGTTTTCCACACCTGGATTGTGCAACATTTGCCCATTATTCTTCAAAATTCTTCAAGCTCTGTCAAATTGGTTGTTGAACATTGCTAGACAACCATTTTTAGGTCTTGCCATAGATTTTTAAGTAGATTTAAGTCAAAACTGTAACTCGGCAACTCAGGAACATTAACTGTATTCTTGGTAAGCAACTCCAGTGTAGATTTGGCCTTGTGTTTTAGGTTATTGTCCTGCTGAAAGGTGAATTCATCTCCCAGTGTCTGGTGGAAAGCAGACTGAACCATGTTTTCTTCTAGGATTTTGCCTGTGCCTAGCTCCATTCAGTTTTTTTTTTTTTACCGGAGAAACTCCTCAGTCATTGACGATTACAAGCATACCCATAACATGATGCAGCCACCATCATGTTTAAATATATGGAGAGTGGTACTCAGTAATGTGTTGTATTGGATTTGCCCCAAACATAACACTTTGTATTCAGGAGAAAAAGTTAATTGCTTTGCCACATTTTTTGCAGTATTACTTTAGTGCCTTTTTGCAAACAGGATTCATGTTTTGGAATATTTTTTATTCTGTACAGGCTTCCTTCTTTTCACTCTGTCAATTAGGTTAATATTGTAACTACAATGTTGTTGTAGTTACAATGTTGTTGATTCATCCTCAATTTTCTCCTATCACAGGCATTAAACTCTTTAACTGTTTTAAAGTCACCATTGGCCTCATGGTGAAATCCCTGAGCGGTTTCCTTCCTCTCTGGCAACTGAGGTAGGAAGGAAGCCTGTATCTTTGTAGTGACTGGGTATATTGAAACACCATCCAAAGTATAATTAAAACTTAATTATCTGACTTGTTAAGCACATTTTTATTCCTGAACTTGATTAGGCTTGCCATAACAAAGGTGGTGAATACTTATTGACTCAAGACATTTCAGCTTTTCATTTTTAATTAATTTGTAAACATTTCTAAAAACATAATTCCACTTTGACATTATGGGGTATTTTTAATTAAAACTGTAACACAACAAAATGTAGAATAAGTTAAGGGGTAAGAATACTTTCTGAAGGCACCATAGGGCTCTGGTCTAAAGTAGTGCACTATATAGGGAATAGGGTGCCATTCTCTGGTCTAAAGTAGTGCACTGTATAGGGAATAGGGGGCCATTCTCTGGTCTAAAGTAGTGCACTATATAGGGAATAGGGGGCCATTCTCTGGTCTAAAGTAGTGCACTATATAGGGAATAGGGTGCCATTCTCTGGTCTAAAGTAGTGCACTGTATAGGGAATAGGGTGCCATTCTCTGGTCTAAAGTAGTGCACTATATAGGGAATAGGGTGCCATTCTCTGGTCTAAAGTAGTGCACTATATAGGGAATAGGGTGCCATTCTCTGGTCTAAAGTAGTGCACTATATAGGGAATAGGGTGCCATTCTCTGGTCTAAAGTAGTGCACTATATAGGGAATAGGGTGCCATTTGGGACGTACACAGTGTCATTATGCTACAGACTGTTCTGTTCAACACCCTGCTCCACTGAGCTACAGGCTGCAGCAGGGTCGTAGCCAATCAGAGGGATACAGAGGGGTATTTTAATAACAAAAGGTAAACAAATAAGTTTGCTTTACAAAACATTTTGTTGCAGTTGAACAACACATTTCCTGCAATTCTACAAATTTTTCTATGAGGTGTGGAGACATTTTTGTAGTTTTAAAGCTAATTTCCTGCTATTCGACACATTTGTTAATATGAAATCTGAGTGAGAGTGATTAACAAAATCAATAGGGGCCCTCTGGAGGTCAGGGCCCCTGGAGGTCAGGGCCCCTGGAGGTCAGGGCCCCCTGGAGGTCAGGGCCCCTGGAGGTCAGGGCCCCTGGAGGTCAGGGCCCCTGGAGGTCAGGGCCCCCTGGAGGTCAGGGCCCCTGGAGGTCAGGGCCCCCTGGAGGTCAGGGCCCCCTGTAGGTCAGGGCCCCCTGGAGGTCAGGGCCCCCTGGGCATGTGCGCTGCATGCCTGGTCGATAAATCGACCATGATTACTACAAATTTAGATAGCTGACCAGACTCATTTATCAATCTAAACATGTTTAACTGACTAAAGGGATTAACATTTAACTGGGCTAAATGAATGACTGTCAGTGAGTGACATGTATCAAGAGGAAAACTGCTGATACCCAACCCAAGTTTCACCTTGTGCATTCTACTATTCTAACTGTCATCAGTGCATTCTACTATTTTAACTGTCATCAGTGTATTCTACTATTCTAACTGTCATCAGTGTATTCTACTATTCTAACTGTCATCAGTGCATTCTACTATTTTAACTGTCATCAGTGTATTCTACTATTCTAACTGTCATCAGTGCATTCTACTATTCTAACTGTCATCAGTGTATTCTACTATTCTAACGGTCATCAGTGTATTCTACTATTCTAACTGTCATCAGTGCATTCTACTATTCTAACTCTCAACAGTAAGTTGAGACCCCGACTAAGTTTTCATATGTAGCTACGGCTTTGGACAGCAGTACTCAATCACAGCAGCTTGCTACAGAGGCAGTACTCAGTCACAGCAGCTTGCTACAGAGGCAGTACTCAATCACAGCAGCTTGCTACAGAGGCAGTACACAGTCACAGCAGCTTGCTACAGAGGCAGTACTCAGTCACAGCAGCTTGCTACAGAGGCAGTACACAGTCACAGCAGCTTGCTACAGAGGCAGTACTCAGTCACAGCAGCTTGCTACAGAGGCAGTACTCAGTCCCAGCAGCTAGCTACAGAGGCAGTACTCAATCACAGCAGCTTGCTACAGAGGCAGTACTCAGTCACAGCAGCTAGCTACAGAGGCAGTACACAGTCACAGCAGCTTGCTACAGAGGCAGTACTCAGTCACAGCAGCTTGCTACAGAGGCAGTACTCAGTCACAGCAGCTTGCTACAGAGGCAGTACTCAGTCACAGCAGCTTGCTACAGAGGCAGTACTCAGTCCCAGCAGCTTGCTACAGAGGCAGTACTCAATCACAGCAGCTTGCTACAGAGGCAGTACTCAGTCCCAGCAGCTTGCTACAGAGGCAGTACTCAGTCACAGCAGCTTGCTACAGAGGCAGTACTCAGTCCCAGCAGCTTGCTACAGAGGCAGTACTCAGTCCCAGCAGCTTGCTACAGAGGCAGTACTCAGTCCCAGCAGCTTGCTACAGAGGCAGTACTCAGTCCCAGCAGCTTGCTACAGAGGCAGTACTCAGTCACAGCAGCTTGCTACAGAGGCAGTACTCAGTCCCAGCAGCTTGCTACAGAGGCAGTACTCAGTCCCAGCAGCTTGCTACAGAGGCAGTACTCAGTCACAGCAGCTTGCTACAGAGGCAGTACTCAGTCACAGCAGCTTGCTACAGAGGCAGTACTCAGTCCCAGCAGCTTGCTACAGAGGCAGTACTCAGTCCCAGCAGCTTGCTACAGAGGCAGTACTCAGTCACAGCAGCTTGCTACAGAGGCAGTACTCAGTCACAGCAGCTTGCTACAGAGGCAGTACTCAGTCACAGCAGCTTGCTACAGAGGCAGTGGGCACTAAACGCTGAATGACATTTGAAAGCTGTTCTTGAAAACAACGTTTTTCTATGACTTCCTTTAGTCTTACAGTAGTGTGAGCTGTCAAGGAGAACTGGGAGCAGCTTCCACTACGCATGACCGCTGAGCCTTGGATTCATACACCAGACAGACACCCTATTCCCTAGAGAGTGCCCATAGGGCTCTGGTCAAAGTGTGCACTATGTAGGGAATAGGGTGCCATTAGGGACGTATCCACAGAGACAGAGATGCTTGGCTCGGATAATACAGGACCAATGTGGTCAGGATCCTAAGAAACACCTACAGTCTGAAAATAATTATATTCTGTTCAGCTCTGATGGCTCAAGATGATCATTTAAATCAGTATTTGATAATCCCTGTAAACTGTTGTCAATAGTTTGATGAATATCTGATTGTTAATCCCTTGTCGTTAGTTTGATGAATATCTGATTGTTAATCCCTTGTCGTTAGTTTGATGAATATTTGATTGTTAATCCCTTGTTGTTAGTTTGATGAATATCTGATTGTTAATCCCTTGTCGTTAGTTTGATGAATATCTGATTGTTAATCCCTTGTCGTTAGTTTGATGAATATCTGATTGTTAATCCCTTGTCGTTAGTTTGATGAATATTTGATTGTTAATCCCTTGTCGTTAGTTTGATGAATATCTGATTGTTAATCCCTTGTCGTTAGTTTGATGAATATCTGATTGTTAATCCCTTGTCGTTAGTTTGATGAATATCTGATTGTTAATCCCTTGTCGTTAGTTTGATGAATATCTGATTGTTAATCCCAGGATGTCAGTTTTAGGAACGGCTCAGAGTCAAAGCACCAGGAGTCTAGAGGCTCTTGTCTTGATTTATATATTTACATTTCTTCTGTTGTGTTTCTCTTCCTGTCTGTGCAGGTAAATATGTGTACCAGCCCATGACCAGTGTGTGCCAGCTGCCGAGCACGGCGGTGCCCTCTGACCCCTCTGAGTCCCCACCCACCATGAACCTGTCTGTCTCCCTCACCGAACGCTTCCTGAAGATTGCCCCCTGCTTCCAGTCCCCACCGTACCTCCAGTCGCCCAAATACTGTGTCATTACAGACCTCTTCATCGACGACTACATCGTCAAACGCATCAACGGGAAGATGTGTTATGTTCAACGTTCTCCTCCTCCAATCCCTGATCCTCCTGCTGCTGCTGCACCTCCTGCTGCTGCTGTATCACCTCCTGCTGCTGCATCTTCTCCTGCTGCTGCTGCACCTCCTGCTGCTGCATCTCCTCCTGCTGCTGCGCCTCCTGCTGCTGCTGTATCTACACATGCTGCATCACCTCCTGCTGCTGCATCTCCTCCTGCTGCTGCGCCTCCTGCTGCTGCTGTATCTCCACCTGCTGCATCACCTCCTGCTGCTGCATCTCCTCCTGCTGCTGTATCTCCTCCTGCTGCTGCATCTCCTCCTGCTGCTGCATCTCCTCCTGCTGCTGCATTTCCTCCTGCTGCTGCATCTCCTCCTGCTGTTGCATCTCCTCCTGCTGCTGCATCTCCTCCTGCTGTTGCATCTCCTACTGCTGCTGCATCTCCTCCTGCTGCTGCATCTCCTGCTCCTCCTCAGGTGCCTCCTCCCAGTAAGCCAACACGATCTGTTCACAACGACCACCACCACAACAAAACACTACAACCCCCCGTGGACAAGCCCCACCACAAGAGCCCTGTCCACCAACACAACAAGCCCCACCACAAGAGCCCTGTCCACCAACACACCAAGCCCCACCACAAGAGCCCTGTCCACCACCACAACAAGCCCCACCACAAGAGCCCTGTCCACCACCACAACAAGCCCCACCACAAGAGCCCTGTCCACCACCACAACACCTCAGCACACAGTGAGAAGCACCACAACAGCCCCGTAGACAAGCATCACTCCAACCCCTCTGTGGACCACAACAAAATACCACAACACCACAAAAGCTCTGTGGACAAGCATCACTACAGCCCTCCAGTAGACCAGGTGAAGCATCACCACCATCACCTCTCACGGCACCACCCCGGCCCTGTAGACAAGCTGAAAGGCCCCAAGATGGACCACTGCTCCTCTCCATCCAGCTCCGAGGACTCTGGGATCAACGCGTTAGGTTTGCACTGCCTGGAATCCTGTGAGTCAGAGTCAGAGGATCAGAATGAAGAGTTGAGCACCGATGGAGATGGGAAATCTAGCCCTTGTCTCTGGGACCAGGATGAGACCTCTCAGCTGTCTCCCTCTAAGTCCATGGTGGAGATCATCGAGAAGATTGAGACCACTGTGTGACAGACAGAGACAGACAGACAGACAGACAGACACTTCACTGAGCACAGCAGAGAGATACAACTATATTATACTATATCTATGGAGCACACAGCCTCTCTGAGAGCATTTGAAAAACAGCTCCAGATTTCTTGAGTTGGATTTAAAGGACCTACAGTCCACCTACTGCAGGTGACCTTGTTGTGGTCAGATATAGGTAACCCCACATCATGATGACCCTGTGTGTTTTCTCAGAGATGGTGAAGGATCCCAGATATGGATGGTCTCTGGTTTTTCCACCCCACTCTGTATATCTCTCCAGACCCCCTGCATGGTTTGTTAGATAGATAGGGCTGTCTATAGAAAGGGCTGTCGACTGTAGCAAAGATTTGACAAGAAACACAGAGGAAACATGTCCTTTAACATTCACATGGACTCTCAGCAGCTGACCAAATAGACTTCTTACTAGTCCCATGGAGACGGACCATCAGCAGACAAATGGACGAACACAGCCTTTATTAACCCCTCAACTACCAAGCCTTGTACCAAGAACTCCTGCCTGCTTCTAGAAATACAATCAAAATAGAATTTTGAGTTAGAACTTTGACGTTGTTTGACAATCAAGAAAGCACATTCCTTCCTCTGCCTGGTGTGAAGACACAACTACACAACTCCTATCAGCCAAGGACACAGTGTGGAAATACTAAATCACATGTGTTTACCAGAGCATGTAAACCTAAGAGCAAAGAGGACCAGTGATTCCCACTGCTACTATGTACTTTATTACCTTGATGGGAAGCAGTGAAGCGCCGACGTTAATGGCCACCCTTGAGGTGGTCATTCACACCAGAGCAACTGCTCAGTATAAAAGCACAGGACATACTGTACTGTATCCATTACCATACAATACTCCCATTACCATACAGTACTGTACAGTACTACATATTACCATACAGTACTGTTCAGTACTATCCATTACCATACAGTACTGTTCAGTACTATCCATTACCATACAGTACTGTTCAGTACAACTAATTACATCACCAATGGTTTGAAGTGGCATAGAAAGTATTCTAGAATGGACTGTTGGTTTGGAGTGTCATAGTCTCTGTGTTCTAGAATGGACTGTTGGTTTGGAGTGTCATAGTCTCTGTGTTCTAGAATGGACTGTTGGTTTGGAGTGTCATAGCCTCTGTGTTCTAGAGTGGACTGTTGGTTTGGAGTGTCATAGCCTCTGTGTTCTAGAGTGGACTGTTGGTTTGGAGTGTCATAGCCTCTGTGTTCTAGAATGGACTGTTGGTTTGGAGTGTCATAGTCTCTGTGTTCTAGAATGGACTGTTGGTTTGGAGTGTCATAGCCTCTGTGTTCTAGAATGGACTGTTGGTTTGGAGTGTCATAGCCTCTGTGTTCTAGAATGGACTGTTGGTTTGGAGTGTCATAGCCTCTGTGTTCTAGAATGGACTGTTGGTTTGGAGTGTCATAGCCTCTGTGTTCTAGAATGGACTGTTGGTTTGGAGTGTCATAGCCTCTGTGTTCTAGAATGGACTGTTGGTTTGGAGTGTCATAGTCTCTGTGTTCTAGAATGGACTGTTGGTTTGGAGTGTCATAGCCTCTGTGTTCTAGAATGGACTGTTGGTTTGGAGTGTCATAGCCTCTGTGTTCTAGAATGGACTGTTGGTTTGGAGTGTCATAGCCTCTGTGTTCTAGAATGGACTGTTGGTTTGGAGTGTCATAGCCTCTTTGTTCTAGAATGGACTGTTGGTTTGGAGTGTCATAGTCTCTGTGTTCTAGAATGGACTGTTGGTTAGGAGTGTCATAGCCTCTGTGTACTAGAATGGACTGTTGGTTTGGAGTGTCATAGCCTCTGTGTTCTAGAATGGACTGTTGGTTTGGAGTGTCATAGCCTCTGTGTTCTAGAATGGACTGTTGGTTTGGAGTGTCATAGCCTCTGTGTTCTAGAATGGACTGTTGGTTTGGAGTGTCATAGCCTCTGTGTTCTAGAATGGACTGTTGGTTTGGAGTGTCATAGTCTCTGTGTTCTAGAATGGACTGTTGGTTTGGAGTGTCATAGCCTCTGTGTTCTAGAATGGACTGTTGGTTTGGAGTGTCATAGCCTCTGTGTTCTAGAATGGACTGTTGGTTTGGAGTGTCATAGCCTCTGTGTTCTAGAATGGACTGTTGGTTTGGAGTGTCATAGCCTCTGTGTTCTAGAATGGACTGTTGGTTTGGAGTGTCATAGCCTCTGTGTTCTAGAATGGACTGTTGGTTTGGAGTGTCATAGCCTCTGTGTTCTAGAATGGACTGTTGGTTTGGAGTGTCATAGCCTCTGTGTTCTAGAATGGACTGTTGGTTCGGAGTGTCATAGCCTCTGTGTTCTAGAGTGGACTGTTGGTTTGGAGTGTCATAGTCTCTGTGTTCTAGAATGGACTGTTGGTTTGGAGTGTCATAGCCTCTGTGTTCTAGAATGGACTGTTGGTTTGGAGTGTCATAGCCTCTGTGTACTACAGTGGACTGTTGGTTTGGAGTGTCATAGCCTCTGTGTTCTAGAGTGGACTGTTGATTTGGAGTGTCATAGCCTCTGTGTTCTAGAGTGGACTGTTGGTTTGGAGTGTCATAGCCTCTGTGTTCTAGAATGGACTGTTGGTTTGGAGTGTCATAGTCTCTGTGTTCTAGAATGGACTGTTGGTTTGGAGTGTCATAGCCTCTGTGTTCTAGAGTGGACTGTTGATTTGGAGTGTCATAGCCTCTGTGTTCTAGAATGGACTGTTGGTTTGGAGTGTCATAGCCTCTGTGTTCTAGAATGGACTGTTGGTTTGGAGTGTCATAGTCTCTGTGTTCTAGAATGGACTGTTGGTTTGGAGTGTCATAGCCTCTGTGTTCTAGAGTGGACTGTTGGTTTGGAGTGTCATAGCCTCTGTGTTCTAGAGTGGACTGTTGGTTTGGAGTGTCATAGCCTCTGTGTTCTAGAGTGGACTGTTGGTTTGGAGTGTCATAGCCTCTGTGTTCTAGAATGGACTGTTGGTTTGGAGTGTCATAGCCTCTGTGTTCTAGAATGGACTGTTGGTTTGGAGTGTCATAGCCTCTGTGTTCTAGAGTGGACTGTTGGTTTGGAGTGTCATAGCCTCTGTGTTCTAGAATGGACTGTTGGTTTGGAGTGTCATAGCCTCTGTGTTCTAGAGTGGACTGTTGGTTTGGAGTGTCATAGCCTCTGTGTTCTAGAATGGACTGTTGGTTTGGAGTGTCATAGCCTCTTTGTTCTAGAATGGACTGTTGGTTTAGAGTGTCATAGCCTCTGTGTTCTAGAATGGACTGTTGGTTTGGAGTGTCATAGCCTCTGTGTTCTAGAATGGACTGTTGGTTTGGAGTGTCATAGCCTCTGTGTTCTAGAATGGACTGTTGGTTCGGAGTGTCATAGCCTCTGTGTTCTAGAGTGGACTGTTGGTTTGGAGTGTCATAGTCTCTGTGTTCTAGAATGGACTGTTGGTTTGGAGTGTCATAGCCTCTGTGTTCTAGAATGGACTGTTGGTTTGGAGTGTCATAGCCTCTGTGTACTAGAGTGGACTGTTGGTTTGGAGTGTCATAGCCTCTGTGTTCTAGAGTGGACTGTTGATTTGGAGTGTCATAGCCTCTGTGTTCTAGAGTGGACTGTTGGTTTGGAGTGTCATAGCCTCTGTGTTCTAGAATGGACTGTTGGTTTGGAGTGTCATAGCCTCTGTGTTCTAGAATGGACTGTTGGTTTGGAGTGTCATAGTCTCTGTGTTCTAGAATGGACTGTTGGTTTGGAGTGTCATAGCCTCTGTGTTCTAGAGTGGACTGTTGGTTTGGAGTGTCATAGCCTCTGTGTTCTAGAGTGGACTGTTGGTTTGGAGTGTCATAGCCTCTGTGTTCTAGAGTGGACTGTTGGTTTGGAGTGTCATAGCCTCTGTGTTCTAGAATGGACTGTTGGTTTGGAGTGTCATAGCCTCTGTGTTCTAGAATGGACTGTTGGTTTGGAGTGTCATAGCCTCTGTGTTCTAGAGTGGACTGTTGGTTTGGAGTGTCATAGCCTCTGTGTTCTAGAATGGACTGTTGGTTTGGAGTGTCATAGCCTCTGTGTTCTAGAATGGACTGTTGGTTTGGAGTGTCATAGCCTCTGTGTTCTAGAGTGGACTGTTGGTTTGGAGTGTCATAGCCTCTGTGTTCTAGAGTGGACTGTTGGTTTGGAGTGTCATAGCCTCTGTGTTCTAGAGTGGACTGTTGGTTTGGAGTGTCATAGCTTCTGTGTTCTAGAGTGGACTGTTGGTTAGGAGTGTCATAGCCTCTGTGTTCTAGAGTGGACTGTTGGTTTGGAGTGTCATAGCCTCTGTGTACTAGAATGGACTGTTGGTTTGGAGTGTCATAGCCTCTGTGTACTAGAATGGACTGTTGGTTTGGAGTGTCATAGCCTCTGTGTTCTAGAGTGGACTGTTGGTTTGGAGTGTCATAGCCTCTGTGTTCTAGAGTGGACTGTTGGTTTGGAGTGTCATAGCCTCTGTGTTCTAGAATGGACTGTTGGTTTGGAGTGTCATAGCCTCTGTGTTCTAGAATGGACTGTTGGTTTGGAGTGTCATAGCCTCTGTGTTCTAGAATGGACTGTTGGTTTGGAGTGTCTGGGCTGAGGACATGTTGTCACTCTGTGGTGTTATCCGTCTTCAGAGACAGAGAAGCAGAAGGCAGAGTACTGTATGTAGATACCCTTCACACATAATGCATAATCACCTCTCAACAATATGATGCAGTTATACCACCTTCCTCACTGTGTTCCTGTTATTATTGTATCTCTTATTTTCATACAAATAAACATCAAATAAATGGAATGTCTCCTGCTCTCCTTGTTTTACGGACATTTTGTAGAAACAGAGTGAATCACATCATGACTCCGATAGGCTCCCTTATTATGACTCTGTAGAAACAGAGTGAATCACATCATGACTCTGATAGGCTCCCTTATTGACTCCCATTATGACTCTTTGTAGAAACATAGTGAATCACATCAT